GGTTAATCCTTAGCCTCCCACGTCTACTCCCGTCGTGAGGTACTTCTGCACCGGCGAGATCTCACGCAGCTCGAAGGCAGCTTCCAGCAGCTCCCTCAGCTCCTTCAGCATCGCGGCGCTGCTGCTGGCGGCCAGCAGGTCGTCGACGTAAATGAGCACCCAGCAGGCCACTCCGTCGTCGCCGACCTTGAAGTACAGAGCCTCGTCGACCTGGCTCTTCTTCCACCCGGCGCCGACCAGCACGTCGTTGAGCGCCAAGTACCACAACAGCGGCGACTGCTTCAGCCCATACAGGCTCTTCAGCAGCTTACACACCCGGCCGGTTCCGTCGTTGAAGTAGTCCGGCTGGGACATGTAGAGCACCCGGTCGAGCTTGCTCTGCAGGAAGGCGTTCTTCATGTCGAGCTGCATCAGGTTGAGGTTGGGCACTGCGACGATGCTGAGGAAGATCCTCAACGTGACGTAGCTGCCCACCGGCGCGAACGTCTCGTCGTAGTCGGCGCCGTACACCTGCGTGAAGCCCTTCACGACCAGCCTTGCCTTCTCACGCTCAACGGTGTCGTCGATGTGGTACTTTGTCGTCAGCACCCACCGGTTCTTCATGACGTTCACTCCCGGCGGGCGTTCGACCAGCTCCCACGTGCCCATGCTGATGAGACTGCGGATCTCCTCCTCCATGGCGGCCTTCACCGCCGGACCCTTCCAGCTTGCCAGCGCCTCCTTCACCGTCATCGTCGCGATGTCCCAGCGGTGCTCGGGGTCGGCGTGCATGTCGGGGTCGAGCTCCGGAAACTCCTCATCCTCGTCGGCATCGTCGTACAGCACGTCGTCGTCATCATCCACGTCGTACACAGTGGTGAATGACCTCGGCGTCCCCATCAGCAAGCTCACGGACCTCGGCGAGCGTAGGCAGTGTCGCCGTGGAGGTGTCGGTGGGTGGATTGGTCGGCGTCCGTCCTGACACCGGCCCGTGCTCCGACTTCCACACCTCCAGCGACATGTCCTCGTAGAACACCACGTCCGACGTGGTGACCACCCGGTTGGCAGCGATGTCGAGGAGCTCCCATCCCTTGCTCTCCTCCGAGACGCCGAGATGAAGGCCCCACCGGGCTTTCGGCTTCAGCTTCCCACCACGCTGCTGCTCGGGGACGAGGAACTGCGCCATGCAGCCCCACACGCGCGCCAGCGACAAGTCCGGCTTCTTCCCGGTGAGCAGCTGGTACGGCGTCGTGCCCAGCGTCGCCGACCGCTCCAGGCAGTTGCGGACCCAGACGGCCTGCCGCAGAGCAAGGTGCCACCAGTGGTGCTGCACGCCCATGTGCAGCAGCATCGTCCGCACCGACTCCACGACCGTCCGCATCTCCCGCTCCGCCATGCCGTTCTGCTGCGGGGTGTAGGGGCAGGTCAGGTCGTGGAGGATCCCCTTGCCGTCCACGAGGGCGGTGAAGTCCTTCCCGAGGAACTCCCCTCCCCGGTCAGAACGCAGCATCAGCACCGACTTCTTCGTCTGCCGCTCAACCGTCACCAGCCACTGCTCAAACTCCCGCAGCACGTCGGACTTCTTGGCGACCGGCTTCATGCACACGTAGCGGGTCTTGCGGTCCTTCAGCAGCAGGAAGTACAGGCTGCCATCCTTGGCGGCCACGCGAAACGGCCCGCACAGGTCGATGTGCACGACGGCCAGGGCGTCCTCGGCGTCCGAGCCCTTGTCGGGGAAGGTGTGCCTCGCCAGCTTCCCACCGACGCACGAAACGCAAGGCGAGGCAGCGCCGGACGCCGACTTGAGGTCCAGCCCGGTGGCGACCTCGTGCTTCGCCGAGCTCAGGATGGTATCCATGCCGACGTGCGCGAGCCTCGCGTGCAGTCTGTCCGGCGTCGCCTTCGTCGCCGAGACGATGGCCCGCAGGGCAACTTCCTCCGCCGCAGGAGACGCCGGGCAAGGACGCAGGTCGGTGCAGAGGACCCGGCCGGAGTACGTTGCGCGACCAAGCACGTCGCCCGTCGCCGAGACGAGCAGCATGCCGTCGCCGTCCTCCTTCAGCTTCACGCCGTGTTCCTTCAGCTGGCCGGATGACAGCAGGTTCGCGTGCACGCCGGGGACGTACAGCACGTCGGGGATGAGCACACGCTTCCCGGCCTCCCCTTGCAGCGCAACCGTGCCACGGCCGCGAACGTCCTGCAACGCCCCATTGAAGCCGCGCACGTGCTTCACGTCGCCGCTCGGCCCCATGTTGACGAAGACCTCCTTCGTCCCCATCAGGTGGTGGGAGCAGCCGCTGTCCAGCAGGACCACCGCCGGGTTCGCCTGCACTGCTGCTGCCATCGCCTGGAAATCCTCACCGGCCTCCGGCGCCAGTGAGACGGTCGGCTCCACGACGCCGACCAGGGAGCACGACGCCGACTTGTCGTCGCTCCCCTTGCCGCCAGCAGAGGAGTCGGCGTCCTTCGCCGAGGTCGACTTGTTCGACTGCTTCTCCTTGCGCGGCTGGTTTCCTCGACGTGGATTACGGCTGGCCGACCTCCCGCGGCCTCCCTTGGCGTCGTCGTCGTCGTCGGATTCACTGCGGTCGGGACACTCAAAGGAGAGGTGGTCGGGGCTGCGGCAGATCCAGCACTCCCGACGCCGACTTCCTCCTCCGCGACCGCCTTCCTTCGCCGACTTGCCCTTGTCGGCGTCCTTGGCCGGCTTCCCACCTCCGCTACCACCGCTGCCGGGCTTGCCGCGCTGCCCTGGTCGGCTACCTTGCTTCGCCGGGGCGGCGTAGTTTGCCTGCAGCAGGAGCTCCGTGGACTTCTCGGCCTCCTGCATCGCCTCGTCCTGCAGGATGTACGAGGTGAGGGAATCCTCGTTGAGCGTCGCCCGCGTGCTCGGCGCCACTGACAGCCGCTTCAGCAGGTTGTAGCTGCTCGTGAGTCCCTTGATCACATGCGTGACGTACGACGCCGTAGAGTAATTCACGCCGGCCATCCTCATCATGGCGAGGAGTCGCCGAGCACGGTTGCAATAGTCGGTCGCCGTCTCCTGCTCGCCCATCCGCAGGTGTGACAGCTGCTCCTCGAGCTGGCCGATGTACAGGTCGTCGGTGACCTGGTACGTCGTCTCGATGAAGTGCCACGCTTGGTGCCCGGCGTCAAGGTGCTCTCTGCACCACTTCAAGGCGATCTGCACGCCCGGCGAGCAGCACCGCGAGATGACCATGAAGGTCAGCAGCTGCACGGCGCGAAACTCCGCACGCAAGTCGGGGTAGATCTCCTCCGGCGTCGCCACGGTTCCACGAGCGAAACCAATCAGCCCGGCCATCTATAGTTGGGGCTCGATCGCCTCCTTCCAGGTGAGGATGTCCGGTTGACCAACCAGCGGGGGGGTGACCTGGATCCTGTCCGGCGGAAATTTGAAGTAGCCGTAGCTCGGCGCGATCCCTTCCGCGGTCACGTGTGTCGCCGACATCGACGCCACACCACTTCGTCGTCCTCCGACGTAGCCCTGCGAGGTCCCTGCAGCCGCCGACGACTGCATCCCTCGCGCCTGAACGCCGCCGACTTCACCGGCGTGTATCACACCTCTCTGCCGCGATGTGCCTCCCGCACTGCTACCGACTTGGCCTCCATCGGCGTTGACGCCCGCGTCGACGCCACCCTTGGTGTTCACCGGTCGAGGAGAAGCTGGCCGAGAAGGGTGCTCCGTCGCCCACAACGAGCGGATGCCAGCCTCAACGACCGCCAGCGCGAGAGTTCCGTACTCATTCGCCGCGTGGCGTCTCCTCGCATCCTCCAGCCGTGCCTCCAGGGTGTCCACCACCCCGGCGTCACCTACGCCGTCTACCATGGTGACTAACGCAAAGCTGCCGGCCTACGAACACAATCGGGAAGTGCAAAGTCGGCTAGACTGAACTACGTCGCGGTGTCGTCCACGCTCACCGCACCATGCGGAGATAACTCTAGCAACGGGAGCCTGACTACGGGGAAGGCACGTTGTGTGAGAGGGATCTCTGCGTTCGTTCCTTAGTCGTTTCCTTGTGCGCACACTACTTGCTAGTTCACGGGGAGAATTGGCAAGAGTTCCACTAGGAAAACATCACAACAAAGGTTCAGAATGATAGCAACAACATTGGCATGCATCACTACATCAGAGCTAGCACAGCTGCTGGTCGACCTCCAGCGCAGCACGGTCGACCGCGCTCCAGCGCAGCAATGCTCGCACCGCTCCAGCGCTGCAGAGCTGCGGCGCGCCAACGTTGCAAGTCTGCGGTGCGCCAACGCTGCAGCAAGTCGGCTGCACAGCGTTGCACCCGCATGACAACGGTGCACCTGCTTCGCAGGTGCGCGCAGCTGGTTGGTGCTCCACGCCTGGTCACGAGCACAGCGCAGACGCCTAGATCAAGCCCACGCCAGCGACTGCGCCCACCAGCCACGTCGACCTCGGGATACCACCCCCAAGGTCGTCCTCGCAGAAACGTCCCCCGGCGACCTTCGCACACGTCGCCCGGGTATCCCGGTCGAACGGGCAACCCCGCCTGGTCGCCCAGCCCAGTCGGACGCCGGCTACGCCAAGCCCGGCGTCCCCAGGTCGGCGTCCTGGCGTCCTGGTCGGCGTCCACTCGCCCAGGACGCTGACTAGACGCCCTGGTCGGCGTCCAGGCACCAGGGACGCCGAGCAGACCATCAGGTCGGCGTCCGGCCTCCTCGGACGCCGGGTAGACGCCCAGGACGGCGTCCAGGCGCCCAGGACGCCGAGCAGACGCCCAGGTCGGCGTCCCACCTCCCAAGACGCCAATCAGACGCCTAGCATGGCGTCCAGACACCCAGGACGCCGAGCAGACGCCCAGGTCGGCGTCCACCTGCTCGGCGCCCTCCATCTAGACGCCCCCAAGCTCCGCGCCCTTGCAGTGGCCCCCGTGCTCACTGCTGCAGGTCGGCTGCATCCCCCCGCACAACCGACCACGAGGTCGGCTCTGCCCAAGCGAGGACGGGTCCAAACACAACTCCCGTTGACAAGGTCGATGAGGTGGTCGACCTGCGGGGCGACCGATGTGACGCCGCCATCGACGTGAGCCGGCCGCCTAGCTCGACAGGTGAGGTTGACGAAGCAATTAGGCCTGCGTGGGACTTTTGGGCGGCCGTCAAACGTAGTAGTTTGACGGTAGCAGCAGTTCGATCGGGGGTGGTCTTCGACAAAAGTGGTGGTCGACCAGGGCGTCGGGTGGTGGACTCGGTCGACCAGATTACCTCCTCGAGGTTCCGCGACGGCACGAGAACATCGTCAAGGCTGCGATGGCGAAGGAGACTACGGGCGAAGGAGGAGGAGGAGGAGGAGGAGGAGGAGGAGGAGGAGGAGGAGGAGGAGGAGGAGGAGGAGGAGGAGGAGGAGGAGGAGGAGGAGGTGGAGGAGGAGGAGGAGGAGGAGGAGGGAGAGGAGGAGGAGGAGGAGGAGGAGGAGGAGGAGAAGGAGGAGGAGGAGAAGAAGAAGATATGAACACCAACCAATAGGTCCTTGGTATCTCGCCCGAAAATTATCTGCCAGCCCCCTTCAAAGTGGCCCTTCATGCAGGTTGTCGACAGCTCAGTCGTACTCATGGATTTGCAAAAACGCCCTTAACTCCACCCTCTGTTTGTGTTTCACCTCCATACTATCTTGGTTGCCGTGATTTACCCAGTGCACGTTGTGTGTGTGTGTGTGTGTACGTGTGTGTGCGTGCGTGTGCGTGCGTGTGCGTGCGTGTGCGTGCGTGTGCGTGCGTGCGCGTGCGTGCGCGTGCGTGCGCGTGCGTGCGCGTGCGTGCGCGTGCGTGCGCGTGCGTGCGCGTGCGTGCGCGTGCGTGCGCGTGCGTGCGCGTGCGTGCGCGTGCGTGCGCGTGCGTGCGCGTGCGTGCGCGTGCGTGCGCGTGCGTGCGCGTGCGTGCGCGTGCGTGCGATGGCGTCGCACGTTTTCAATTATTGGTTCTTTCGTAGTTACTCGTTCTATCTCATGCGTAAGCATGCGAAGTCGTATGGTCATTGTAGCTCAGCCTGGTCGACTTACGAGTCGACTGCGCGTCGGATTGTTTGTCGACTCTTGAAACGACCAACGGAACTGACAAGAAGCGGCCGGTTGTGACGAAGTAGCCGAAATCACAAACGAACGTCGCAACAACGTTACTTTCGCAAAATCCTACCAGTCAGATTAGAGCAAATACGGATCAGACACACCCTAATAGAGTCAAAATAGTTTTATTAAAAAAAAGCTCGCACCCAACCAACTTGCAGCCCACCAGCCCATTACACCACGTACCGTATCACCCCAAGCAATAGCGCATATGCGCTTATAGTTTTTTTTTTTTTGGTTTTTTAAGAGGGCGTTGATAATTAAGTTTCAGGCATAAGCGCATGTGTTTAGATCATGAAAAATACAACTTATACTTTTGGGGTATTAGACTATAGATTTTATTGTTGCCATTTCAACCGAGCCGAAATAATATAGCGTCACAAAGCGGAATCGCGCGCAAGCGATTCTGCTTCTTGCGCACTAGCAAGTTCACATCACTGTTCAGGCATGCCCGCACATCCTGACTGGGCGCGCAGCCAGTCAGGTCTTCACGAGTCAAGAGAAACAAAATGAGATTTGACTTGTTGCAAAAATGAATTCCGTTACCGCTTTGAACAGATTTTTAAATATAAATTGTATGTACGTTTATAATAAGTATATGTTTTCTGGGGGGGGCGCTTATAATTGAGGACCAATCATAAGCGCATGGCTCCAGATAGAAGCGCCGGCGCTTTTAATAGGACGGCGCTTGTGAGGATCTAGGATCGAGCTCACAAAAGAGAGTTTGAATTGAATGTATCACCTGGGTACAACACGAGGCTATATATAGGCTCGACACAAGGCCTAGTAACCAGGTGTTACGCGAAGGTTCCGAGGGTCGCGAAGCGTCCCGAACAGACCCTTCCCGAATTCGGTAGAAGGCAATTCGGTGGCAACCGAAAAGCCTAGAATTCGGTGTACACAACCATAACAACTATATTCAAAGCAACGAACCTAGGAAATCAAGCAAAAGCAAGCAAAGCAAAATAATGCTAAGCTAGATAATGCATAATAAAGTCATGGCAAGCTAGCAAAGCTAGCATAAGCCGTCGTACTCTCACACGTCCCCCCCTCAAAGCTGGGTGGCATGAGATACACCCTGCTTGACAAGATAGTCCTTGAGAGCACGGCGTGCGTTGCCCATATCAGCTTCTGCAACCCAACTTTCCAGCGTATCAGGAACTCGAGGGTTTTGCCGCCGTGGCGCCGATAAGTGAGAACGGCGCTCGATCTCGTACTGCGGTTCATCCTATACGAGTACAGGTGATGGTGGCGGTAGCTACCGTCCCTGGAACTGCTGGTTGGGGTGCTTGTAGGGTTTCAGTAGCTGGACATGGAAAGCGTTGTGAAGCTTCCACGTATCTGGTAAGCGCAAGCGGAATGTAACTGGTGTCACCTTTGCCTCAACAAGAAAAGGACCACAGAAGCGAGGCCGGAGTTTGGATGGTAGGTGAGACAAGTTCAAGTTGCGCGTGTCGAGAAGCACCTGATCTCCGACTGCTACTGAGTGATCTCGTCGTTGGCGATCGGCATACTGCTTCTAGGAGTTCTGCATCGTGGTGAGACGCCGCTGAGTCTTCTCCCATAGCTGCTGCATGGTGGTGACGAAGTCGTGTGCGGCTTGGACGTATGCCGGTGTGGTTGGCTGCTGTGGTGTGAGTGGTTCCCGTCCGTAGCACAGAAAGAAATGAGTTTTTCCTGTAGCCACATGTGAGGCGTTGTTGTAAGCGAACTCTAGGGTCGGTAACTGTGTGTCCCAGTGGCTGATGTCGTCTTTGCAAGCTGTGCGCAGTAACTGTTCAACCACCTGATTGAGTTGCTCTGTCTGTCCGTCAGTCTGGGGATGGTATGCTGAAGACATCGCAAGCTTAGTCCCGAAAAGTCCTATGAGCTCCTTCCAGAACTTACTCGTGAATTTGGGGTCTCTGTCTGAGATGAGTGTAGCGGGGATGCCGTGGATGGTGATGATGCGGTCAAAGAAGAGTCGAGCAGTTGCTTCAGCTGTAGCCGTGGCATTGGTGTGAATGAAGTGACCCATTTTTGAGAGCTTATCGATTACTACGAAGATGAAATCGTGACCCTGTGAGGTCGAGGGAAGTCCCGTGATGAAGTCAAGGCTAACGACCTGCCATGGCTGCTCCGGTACGGGTAGAGGCTGAAGTAACCCTGCTTTCTTCTGCTTGCTACTCTTCATCCGCTGGCACGTGTCGGATGAGGTGCAAACTGCTGCACTTCTGCTGCCAACCCAGGCCAGTAGTAATACTTCGCTATTCCCGCTAACGTCTTGTTGCTCCCGAAGTGTCCCGCGTATGGTACGTCATGAAACTCCTCCAAAAGGAACTTCTGCGGGGCGTAATTCGGTACCCAAATCTTTCCTGAACCCTTCCTTACCGCTAAGTCTTTCTCCCACTGTAATAGCTTCTGTTTCTCTGCCGTTGCTATCTTTGCGTCCACAGTGTACCCTTGTTGGAATAGACCCTTGAGAAGAGGGTTCATCCCGTCGAGCTGGATGCCTGCTACATGACCGGGGCGGCTCAACGCGTCAGCTTTGTTGTGTAGCCCGGGTTTGTAGACAATGTCGTAGTGGAAGTGGGTCTCCAAGAAATCCACCCACCGCACCTGTCGTTGTGAGAGCGTCGGCTGTGACTTCAGGTATTTGAGGCTGCAGTGGTCAGTGTAAACTGTGGTCTTGGCTCCCTCTAGGTAACACCTCCACGCCTTGAAGGCTACAACTATGGCTAAGGCTTCCTTGTCGTGAATGGGGTAGTTCAGTTATGCTCCGTGTAGCTTCTTACTGAGGTAGGCGATGGGCTGCAAACCGCGTCCGTGATCCTGCATCAATACTGCTCCGATTGCCTGGTCACTAGCGTCTGCTTCAACTACGTAGTCTTTGTCTGGGTCCGGTAGGATGAGTATTGGCGTTGTGCTCAGTGCTGTCTGTAGCTGCTCCATGGCTTGCTGATGGGGAGTATCCCATTTAAAGGGCGTAACCATTTTCAATTAGTCGCTCTGTGGGCTTGCTATCTTAGCGTACTGCGGCACAAACCTGTTGTAGTACTTGGTGAAGCCTAAGAACTGCTACAACTCCTTCACGTTCTCCAGTACTTTTCACATTTAACGGCTTCGATCTTCCGCGGGTCCACGTGTACGCCCTCAGCACTCACCGAGAAACTCCACCTTTTCTAATGCGAAATTGCTCTTTGACAGCTTCACGTAGAACTTATTTTTCCGCAGGATCTCGAACACCTTCCGCAGATGCTCCACGTGTCCCTTCATGTTCTGGGAGTAGATGAGGATATCTTACAGATACACTACTACGCACTCGTCTAGCAGGGGCCGAAGAATATGGTTCATGTCCACCTGGAACGTCGCTGGTGCATTGCAGAGTCCGAACGGCATCACCAAGTATTTGTAGGAACCGTATCTCGTACGAAACTGTCAGAATATTATGCTCTAGCCTGCAATGGGGTGCTCTATAGCGAGTACAACCCTTCTAGGGTTAGCTATTTGTACCACCATTGTTGCTAGTGCAAACCTCTCCTTTTGCTCATTTCTCTCTTGCCTAGCTAGGTAAACCCTAGCTATGGCTCCTCAGTATACTTACTCTCTCAACATGCTATCAGAGCAGGACGATCCTGTTGGGTCGATCCTGTGGGTGGGCCCCACCACCTTAGTCTTCCGCTGCTCCTACTACTGTCTGTGTCGCACGCCCCGTGGCGTGCGACGGATTTTTCATCCCGCCGCGCGCTCGGGGCGTGCGGCGGTTTTCTCCCCGCCGTGCGCCCCGAGGCGCGCGGCGGTTTCCTACCGTGGGGGACCCCGCGCGCCCCCGCCCCTTTCGTTCCGACGTCCTAAGGAGCCGCGCGCGACCCCCCGCGGCCCCGATTTCCCGTCGCGCCGCCCTGGGGAGCCGCACTCGGCCCCCCGCTGCCCCGATTCGCCGTCGCGCCGCCCTGGGGAGCCGCACTCGGCCCCCCGCTGCCCCGATTCGCCGTCACGCCGCCCTGGGGAGCCGCGTGCGACCCCCGGCTGCCCCGTCGACGGCCGCGACGCCCTGGGGAGCCGCGCGCGGCCCCCGATTTCCCGTCGCGCCGCCCTGGGGAGCCGCGCGCGGCCCCTCGCTGCCCCGTGGTGGCGTCCTGGGGGCCGCGCGCCGTCCCCCTCGCCGTCCCCCGCGCTCCTTCCCCCGTTCCGCCCGTTTTAGGGTTTGGGGGTGAGGAGTGTGGGGGTGGCGACTATGGGGGTGTCGGTTGTGAGTTCCTCCCCCTGCTCCTCCTCCTCCCTAGTCTCCCTCTGCTACAGCTGCCGCTGAGGGGGGTGGTGTGTGGGAGCCTAGGGTTTGGGGTTTAAGGGGGGTACCGTGGGAGTGGAGCTAGCTAGGGTTTGAAGCAGAGGGTGTGTGTCGAGGGGTG